GATAAGAACAGAAGATGCCAGAGAGGGAATGACACAATAGCTTGATGTCCTGTGCATGCAGCGACAATGTGCCTTGAAGAGAGCCATTGCCATATTTGGACAAAAGCACGTTGGGCTACACGGCACGTGCTGTCCCATAACTGGACCTATCACACAGGAGTGTTGACATCTTGCTTTGCCAACAAGTCCTCCCCTCTACTGACTACCTGGTGATTACCTCCCCGTTTGCTGTATGTGTTCAGATTTCATCCGGCACAGGCTTCTTGTACTGTGTGGGCCATGCACTCCGTACCCTGAATGCTCTTTTGAGTTGGAAAGTTTGTCAGTGCATTACCAGTTAGTGATGCAGGTATGTTTCGCACACTGCAAACCTGCACATTGGCCTACATTCTGTCGCATTCACATTGGCTTTTATCCAAGTGTCTGAATATAAACTACCTTCAGCATGTGACTTGAAGATTGAGAAAAAAAAATGCCAGGTGTGAACTTTGATAAGTGTGTCTCACATGAGGTCAAGGCGCACAACTTGCCTCTGACCACCATTGTTTACCATTTCCTCTGCCCTTGACACTGACACATGGTGCGCACCTCGCTATGGTTGTCCTAACAAATATGAAGACATGAATAGAACACGAGTGATGCAGCACTGGATGCAGGCTTACAATGCCATGGACATCAGCATTCCCCGAGGGAATGCTCTGTCACCAAATGCCACTGGTATCCAGGAAGCGAACAATGCTGAGATCAATGGCATCCAGAATGTGTTGAATGTTTAAGGGAAAGGCGGAATGCAATGGTCCTGCCAATGCTGCTCCTGCCAGAAATACTGGTGCATATCTCTCGCCATCTCACACAACTGGGCGAGCACATGTTTCAAGACTACAACATTAAGCTGCATGCTGCCATCTGGTACCAGATCTCACAGATCTGTCACAGCTGGCACCAGGCACTAGTTTCAGAACTGGACACTGCATATATAAACTTACATCAGACTATTACACCATGTCGGATCTGGCTGTCACAGGTCGGAGACCCGTCCCTGCTGTTCACTGAGGTGCACCTTCAGAGAGATTGTCTTTCCGCTCTCTAACCACACCTGTGATAAGCTGATGACACATGAGCGCCGCCTGACTCTATTTTCAATCACCCCACCCTATCTAAAACTCACGTCTCTTGCACTTCGCGTCAATCCTTGTGAAGACAATGTGTCCACTTACTATACCGAACTGATAGATGGTTTGTCCGATCTGGTCGTTCAAGAGGCACTTCGCAATGTGCAGTCACTAAGCAACCTGTACATTGCTGGGTTTGCCATTGACAATGCACTGGTGGATGTGGCATCCGAGTGCTTCAACTACAAGGGGAGCCGCATTTGTCGTCTGTGCCTGGACTTTGACATTAGAGTGAGCATTCTGGACCGGCAGGTAAATGCAACTGATGCTGCTTACAGGCTTATCAATACGGCCAGCCCAACACTTCATACAACAATCTAGAGAATATTGTTGCCATGTTTGACAAGTGCAAGCTCATCCACCTTGGTGGACCACCAGGCCATGCTCTACGGTGGAGTGGTGGCCTATAATGAGGCGCAGGATTTCCAAGATCCTATTGGCCCATCTCTGTCTGTTGTGGGACATCTTGTACGCTTGCCATTGCAAGGCAATCAAATTAACGACGATGAAGTCAAGCTCAAAGATGGCACCATGATCCGCGAGGTGCAGTTCTGGCAGGCCATCTGTCTTGAGACCTGCAGACTGCTCACAACATCACCATCCGCAATGAGTGACACACTCGAGCGTGTGGATCTCATTCTGGGAAAGATGGACGAGAGTCTCCTGTGTGCCCATTGTGTCAAGCAGGCTGGAGCACAGTGGACTGTTGACGTTCACGTGGCGACAATGATCAAAGACCTACGCTTTTTGGGTTGCAAGTGCCTGTCCCAGTGAGTGGCTGTGTAATGCATGACAGCACAAGACTGGGAATCTCTCAGTGACAATCCATACATTCCCCTCACCGAAGACGATATGGTGGAGATCCCAACAGGGATGTGGTCTGTGAGCTCCTGTTATGATGGAGTCCACTGGCAACAGCCCTCTCCCCTCTATACAGACATGCTTGGGAGCGATGTTATAATGTGTCGCTCCTTTTCCAAGGGGTGAGTGAGCCTGAACTGTCATCATGCAAGATCTAATGCAGATTCAGAGGCCATTGTAATGAGAGCTTTGAATGGAGGCTGAGAGCCGCAGTGGATGGAGAATCGACCTAGCTACCCATCTTCTCAATTCAACAAAACCGCAACAGCAGTGAAGCAAGCACATGTTATGTGTATATTTTGTTATGAGATATGGTATCTATACAAGTAGGGAGCAAATTTTTCCCTCAATCGAGAGTGTAGAACCGAGATTGTGTGAGAATACCGCTGAGTCTCACATTGGTACAATGAGATTTGGTAGCGAGGTACACGTACTTGAAACACCTTGATGCAATAAGTCTGCTCCCAATGACACGAGTGTATTCCAGTGATGTGAGGTGGGAGTTGCCGTTGTAGCATTTAGCACGCAGGTCCCACTGCGGGTACCTCTCTCTGTCCTCATCGATAGATAGGCATATGTAGTGGATGCGCTTGGTAATGTCAGACCTTTATCTGCCTAGACTGCAGTAGAATCTCACAATGATGAAGTGCAGGTGCACCCTGCACCATGTAATGCCCTGTCTCCGTCCTCGGTAGACACACTGGCTTGCCATTGGCCCTTGTGCCTTGTACACAACACTCTCAAAGATTCCCCCTCTTTCAATACATATCCGGCTCCTAATGTGAAATCAAACTTCTGAAGTGTGTTGGACAGCCGGTTATCACCTTTGTTCTTGGAGCAGAAGACTGTGTATGCAGCTGAGAATATGACCTCCCAGTCATCAATGAGGTAATAGACATCTTTGTATAGAACAACAGGAAGGAACAACTCTTGTCTGTCCGGCCTTAGCAGAGAGCGACCCAGTGGACCACTCTCCTCCTCTTCGTCCTCCGCCCTCAGTATACCCGGAAGGGGGATCATTGGATTTGACATTACAAGATATTCGAGCAGGCACTTGTGAAGGAGCCTGTGGAGCGGCATCAGGTTGTCAACTTCCTCTCCTGTGTCACACTGTGTCATATCTCAGTATGCAAAACAGGTCCATCTAATAGAGCAACTGCACACATGTGTGTCATCGCAAAAGTCAATTTGCAAGACCGTCAGTCTGGACGCTGCATAATTGAAAATCTTTGAGCAAGCGACAAGCACGTCATCCTCGCAGCTGCTCACACCAAAGACATACAGCTCTTTGAGCGAAGATAGACGGTGCAGTGTGTCCTTTGCTTTCCGCGTTCAAAGCGCTCATGCGACTGCGGGCACTAAGTACGCTGACTCCATCAGAGGGTTGGCACCAAAGACAACAGTGCGAATGTTCAAGAACGGCCTGTGTACGAATGGTGGACGCCTGTTGCTGAATGCATCAATGTGCTTGATGATCTGGAGTGCATGTGAAATAAGAGTGCGTGTAGAGAGCACAAGTCATACGGCATCCGTCAGACGTTCCACTTCCGCCTTGCTTGCAACCCACATCTGGGAGGCAGGGAGCTGGGCCTCTCCCAAGTTGTACATTTCTATACATGTCCCACAAAGGCCAGACTATCTCAAGGACCATGTGCCTGCAGTAGAGTCAGCATCATTGACAGGCTTGCAATATATTCGAGGATGCACTGCCGCCATCCAAGTCTCCTTCGGATTGCTTCACATGAGAAGGGATCCACTGCAGGATTTCATGCCTCATGTCAGCAGGGAGTTTTAGGAAGGTAGAAGTTTGCGATTGGGCCATGATCAAGTAGTGGTGGCACAAAGTCAAAGTGCGGTGCCCGCTTGCCAACGTGGCACACGCACATCTGAATGTGAACTCGACACTGCATTCTCTTGAGCTTGTCCTAGATGCGCACCATGCTCACACCCTTGTCGTCCATGAACACCGCTCACAACGATATCACTAACGCTTGGTGCATTTCATGTGCACCGGTTGTGGTGTTGCCACATCTCTATGCATTTTCCTCATTTGTATATCAGCCCTGTACAGCATAGCTCGCGCCCGACACGATCCCGCCTTGCATATGCGCAATAATCCATGTCAAGCCTGCTCAACCTCTTTGCCGTACGGCTTACAGCTGCTGTTGAGAACATGCAGTATTGTTTTTCCTCAGCCTCTCATATATGTGTATTATATTATATCTGCACCTTGTCAAAGACAGTCTGCAGCTGCTGGCCAGCTGCAGTGAGAGTCCAAGACACCAGGTCCTGTCGGACCTGGGAGCAATGCGGTTGGTGGTGGAGGGTCAAGGTGAGCCCAAATGCGGCACAGACAAAGTCAACATGCACGTGACAACTTCCCACGGATCAATGTCACGTTCGTAGAGGCACCAGGCTATCCTATACCCATCTGTGATGGCAGAGTGCAAGCTCTACAGTATTGAGGAGGCTGGGCAAAGAATACATATCCTGCATAAGAATTGAGCTGCGGTTGCACATATGACAGCAAGTAAATAGGCTCTATGCTGTCATGGTTTCACCCCATCAGACTCTATTATTTTCCGGCATTTTCCGTTATTTACCTTTGTTTACATTCTGATTTCCCTTATAAACCCCCACTCCCAGGCTCTTGTTCTGCAGTTTTTCACTCTGTACCTACCACCTAGGGTTGCCTCCATCAATGCACTAGCTTCACTTCATGTCTTGAGCAGCCACAAGGGGCCCTTCACCCTTCTAGAGGCATCCCTAACATATGCAAGAAAAGACTAAAACATTGACAATGACGGAACAACAGGACTTGGGCGGCGAATGCAATCAAGGGTTTCTGCACGTTTTTGACAGCGGAAACATAGATGCATTCAGGATACGAGTGCTCACAAGCAGTAGTAGTACATTCATCAGTCCGAGACGAGAGAGTCCTGCGCGACGACGCGGCGGCAGAGCGTTCTAAAAATCCTTCAGGGCCTCCAGCGCCTGAGCCCGTTCCTCCTTCCCCATCTCCTTGAGCTGGGCGACTAGCATCGCGAACACCCCCACCTGCTCCTTCTCCTTCTCCTTCCCTTTCCCTTCCGGGCGCTCCGGGCATTCAAAGAACCTATAGCCGGTCTTGTGGCAGTAGAAGCACCCTCCGCGGCGGCGAAGGTCCGCACGCTCTTCCTCCGTCAGGCGCGTAAAGGTAGCCTGGACGCGAGCAGGCGCCTAGCTAGAGGAAGATCCCTCTGCGCGAGTGCTCGACGACTGCGCAGGCTTGTGCATTCAAACCTTGTCCTCTTCCTGTGCAGCGCGATGACGGGCATCCTTGTTGAGCGTGACCTCCTTCCACCCGCGGATCATACAAGGCGGCTCCGCCATATTGTTGATCTTCTTGCGCAGGACTGGATCAAGACCACGCCTGAACACCTGGATGAGTGCTGCATCGTTGTAGCCAGCGTCCTGCTCAAGTCGGTCAAACATAGCGATATAAGAACGCACAGGCTGCGAGCCTTGCTTGAGTGCCTCGAACTTGGCCTGTGCTGCGCGCTGCTTGTCGAGGACACCAAAGCGGAGGCGAAAGAGCTTGACCACCTGCGTGATGGTTGCGTACTCTGGGAAGCGCTCCCAACACTCGCGCTCATCGAGGTGCGCCTTCATGATCTGTGCCGCCCACAGGAGGCTCTCCTTGCCGCTGCACCCTTGCAGGAAGAAGTAGACTTGGTCAGCATTGGTCCTGAACCGCAACATGTGAAGCTGGATGAAAAAGGACACGCGTGTGATGTACGCCTCCACGTCTTCTTCCTTATCCATGAACAGGGGCGGCAGGAGAAGCTTGACGCTAAACAGGTTGCGCTCCGGGTGTCCTAGGTCACTCCAGTCGTAGGAGCCGTTTTCTGTTGGGGGAGGACCCATGGGGTGACAGAACTGGCCAGGGTTGGTGCGCCAGTGGAACGACATCTCCGAGCCGGCCCACGACTCTTGGCTGGCAGTGGCGAACGATGACTGGTCAAACTGCTGCTGCTGTTGCTGCGTGTCGGGTGGGGGTTGCTTGGTCGAGGTTTCATCTGGCGGTGGCTGGGACCGTTGTTGCTGGGTGTTGGGAGGAGGACGAGGAAGCGGCCGCTGGCGCGGGTAGGCATTCTGCGTGTAGTCGATAGGACCGGGTGACGGGTTCATGATGTCGGCCATTGAGGAGGATTGTGAAGCGCGGGAGGTGCTAGATGTTGTGGTGGGAGATGTACGAATGGGCGGGGCTGGTAGTGCAAGTGTGGAAGGCCTGGGGCGAGGCGAGGCGGTGCGAGATATATCTGCGTAACTAGTGGCGGTCTTGGTGGCGGAGTAGTCGAGTTGGTTGAGAGTAGGGCCTTGAGGCGCGTTCTTAGCTGGGAGAGGTTGGAAGAGATATGAAAGTGCTGGGTTATTGTTCGGGTTGGGAGAAAGATAATGACGTGCTTTGTCTCCTCCTATCCAACAGAAAAGCCTTCCCTTGTTAACGAATACTCCTGGGTGTTGCGGTTGTGGTTGCGCCACGATGTCTTAACAGAGGATGATCGGGTCTAGACGTTGAAGAGGGTTGAGCGCAAACTTGCGGGTGCTGTAGCAGGTACTGAACGTGGCGCGTATACCGGAATACTCGTGTGGGAGTGGGCGGAGACGATGGCTATGGGCACGGGTGATGTGTGCAGCGACTTGATCGTAGGTTGGACGGATGATAGTGTTCCAGGAGATACACGGTTTGCCGGTGCTAAGGGTAAGGACGTCAAGGACGATCCAGTTGCTGTTGGTACCGGCATATGGTGTGGGGCCGATGTCTTGAATCAGATAGAAGGTCCAGTGAGTGCGCGTGGAGTGGCGATCTTTAACCCTCTTGACCGGGATGTAGACGTGGCTATACTGGATGCAGTTGGGAGAGGAGAGCTTGTTGTACCACTCAAAGTGATTCTTAGTGGTAACAATGGGGTCGGCGGCTGGGAAGGCGGGTTCCGGACGGATGTTCAAATCGGATGTGTCGAAGTTGATAAGGAAGAACGACACTACGGC